GACAGTGATCTCGCCTCAGACACATGAAGACTTAACTTTCAGTTAAGATATCCTTTGCACAAAAATATCTGCCTTAAATATATCGGACGGTACGCTATGCCGTTACTGTTACTGCCTCTTTGTTTGCCACTTTTGGGGCTCTTAACAAAGTTCCGCAGCCACGGTGAAAAGTAACTTTCAGAGAGTACACCCTGTCATAAGCGGTTACATCTTCTAGTACTGTGGTTAACAGTGGGAATGACAGAAAAAAATTGAATTTCACAAATTTTCAATGCAACGCACATTGGTAATCATCGAATGGCAACAGTACTTGAGTGCAAACGCTTCTACCCTGATGATAACCGGTATCCGTGCAGTTGTGGTGTCCATTAAATAAATTAAATGAGGATCTGTCAGAGCGTTTTCTTGGTGATAGAAATGGAATCAGAAGATGCCTCGTGTACCAATCATGTGAATTACAATATTGATATGAATTTAAATAGCTAAGAGAGTTATCAGGTTGTAATAGTAGTTACTTGAGTAGTTATCATCAAGGAACGTCAAGAAAAGAATGCTTTCTTCGTTCTGAATGCTCAATATCCTCACATAACAAATTTTCCACTCTATAAGCCGTTTTGTTGAATAGACCTTTAAAAACATATAACATAATGGTATTTGGACATCTGATGCGAGCGTTAGACTCGGAGACGTTTCGTTGACAGAACCAGCAGAAAAAAGTAGACTCGATTATAATATTCAGAAAAAAATTAAACTTACGCTGTCTCCGTTTCGAATCATTTGATCGTAGATGCTAAACTGAATGAAGTCGTCGATGCAGTTCTGACCGCTAATCATCTCTTCGCTAAAAAGACAGTTTTACATCTTTTAATTGTGTTTTGAAATGTCCCTTATACGGATTCTTAAAATATTATTTACAAAAATGATGACATGTTCATATGATTCTTATTGTTACTTAAGGAAAAGGAAATATTTTTAAGAGGACTCTTGAGTCTTATGGTCAAGTTTGTTAGTTCTGTTAATACAGGTTAGCAGGCAACCGTCGCGTATATTCTTCGAAACAAGCCCTCCAGGTCTTTCTGAAAGCAACGTTGCCACAGGCTGTCATAAAGTGACCATTGCCGCATTGAGCGCTGACAGATTGGGTTCGGATAATGGATGGCGCAACTCTGTCATACACGTTGCCGTCGTAACTCCATGTGATGAACAGCATTGCTCCTCACGGTATTATCCTCGGATGATTGATGGCATGAGCCGACTCTCACAGGAAATCCTTAATCAAGGACAGTTGAATTGCGCGGGATGACCAAGAGAGGATCCCACCAATCTGTCTCATGGATGGCGTGGACCAGGTATGACAATTACCAGCAGGTGCATCATCAATTTTGTCATGGCACTGCCGGATCCTGGCAGCGCCGCATTCGAAACGTGACCATTAACGCCGATTTGTTCTAGCATATTAAAAACAGCTATAAAATAACTAGTCCGGTGCGGAATTGGAAGTAAGTAATTTTAATTGGAAGTACGTAATTTTGCACTGTAAAACGGTTGTAAGTTATGAATGGAAAATAAATCTTTTCGATCGTAGTTCGGGTAACGAGGAGTCGCTCCACACAGGAGGGCAAATCTTCAAATAGCTGAAAGATGGACTGTCACCTCAGCAAACCCTCCTGGCGCGCTGCTGCACATGTTCTCAATTGCACACCCTAACTAGTCATTTATGAACAGTTCAGTTCTTGTCCAAACAAGGTCGTATATTTCAAGCGTGTCTGCGGACTCTGAAGAATCCTTCAGATATGGAGGTTACGTGGGCAATAGCAGAATAATCCGGAAAAAGAGTAATCGAGGATAACCTTGATAATAATCTAGATGG